TTGTTTATGGTGAGTCTCTAAAGCTGATCTCTTCCCTCTAGAGCCAAATAAGCAAAGGGGACATTTTTGCTTTTAATGGTATAAAATGTTTATTGTAGAGTTACTGCCAATCCCTGTGTACCTGTGTGCAGAGTGTCTAAGACTTCTGTGCTACGCTTGCCATCAGATTTCCATGTAAAGCAGGGCTAATCTATTTTGCATCTCAGGAGCTGAATTTAATTCACCAGTATGGCACAGTAACTCTTTATATTCATTTTAATGGTCTGGTGAAATTGTGTTAGCAAAATACCTCATGAATGTTGCAATTCAGTCCGGGCAATCTGCAACGTAATGTGTGGAGCAGGGCCAACATTATATCAATCATTAAACCTCAAAATGTAAAAAAAAATACATCAATCCCTAATCATCATCTGACTCCGGGAGCGCCTGCATGTGGCTGGGGGCAAAGCCTGGCTGGGATGGGGATGGTGGTGAGCTGGGGTGAGAGGGCTTCACCGGTTGCATTTTGGGGTAACATAGATGCTGTAGCATGAGGAGGGGATTCTTTGTGTGCTCTGGAGTCCCCCCAGGCTCTTGCAAGCCCTAGAGGCGAAACAGTTGTTTATGAAAGGGATGCTTTAATTAAAACAAAGGAGAATAGCCCTTGCAGAAAGTTTTTTTTGTAGGCAGTTTTATGCTTCAATTCCGTTTGTGTTGTGAACTGAGGACAGCACTTTGTTTTGGCCGGTTTGGCCCTGGGAACTCTTGAAGCAGGCGGGTCAAAAGGTGCAGTTGTTCTCTGGAACCCAAGATTTTATAAAGATAAACGGTTTAGAGGTTTGGGAGTTGTTTTTAGTTTTTAAACAAAGTCTCTTGAAAGTCTTCCTAATGAGAACCAAATCCAGCTAGCAAAGACTTTGCATTTGCTTTTGAAAAGATTGAATTGGAGGGAAATCTCTGGCTTCGGCCATGGGTCGGCTCTGCTGGGAGAGGTTATCAGCGGAGAACAAAACCAAAAGTAATTGGTCCTGAAATACGGGCATGTTTAAAATGCACTGCAGGCTCCCTGGGATGTTGGAGTGTGATTTGAAAGACTAATACAGAATACAGAATTATAACATTCCTGACTGTATATATAGAGATATATATGTATGTATGAGCAGCCATGTGAGATTTCAAGGTGGAGGTTTTATCGACACTGGTCTAATTTTGCGCCGTTCTGCTGGCTTAGGATCGGATTAGGTGTTTTACTTTCACTCAAAAACTGAAAATGGATAAACAGAGCGGACGCAGATGTCCCAGCCTTTACCTGTGCTAGCAAACGTGATTTACGCTTATTAGTCACTTGAATAAGAACGAAGCCACAGAATTCTCCATTACGGAGAAATACCGTTTATTAAATGGATGCTGCCTTGGATGGATGAAAAACCTTTAGGAAGGCGGCAGATCAGCTCTGCAGAGCCCACGTAAGGCTCCTAGGGGGCAGCCCCTGAGCCCCATCCTCTCTGCAACCCCTGTGTCCTGGCTGCCAGGGAGAGAAGCCTGTTCAAGCCCCCCCTGCTGCTTCCCCAGCCCTTCACGATGGCGCTCAGCAAACCCAGCGCAGAGATCTCAGCTGGAGGCCCCCCGGCTTTAAAAAACCCACAGAAACCCAGCCGAAGTTTGGCAGCTGCAGCTGGGCGCAGCCAGGGCGAGAGAAGGAAGCCGAGGGGGCAGCCGTGGGTCAGTGAGCGATGCTCCGCGGGACACTTTCCCCCCGCCGCAGGCTGCTCCCCGCTCCCAGGGATAGCCCCCCAGATCTGCTCCGGTGGCGCCGGGATGGACAGATGGCACCCGGCCCTCAGCTGTGCTCAGCTCTGTCTTCAGAGAGACGGCGTGTACGACACCGCTCGATGCAGGCTTGGAGCCCTACCGCCAGCCTGGAGATGGCTCGTGAAATACCCATCGAGTGCAAATATTAGGCACAGCAGGGTGAGAAATGAGTTATTTGCCAGGCGCTGGGCGTGTGTGCTGCAAGGGCTGCAAGTGTGAGAGGATTTTGGTCTCCCAGGTCTGTCCTGTGGACCGTCAACCTAACACTGACTTTCTGTCTTTATTAAACCCAGTGTGTTTTAAGCCTGAAGCAACGTGTCTCAAAAAAAAGCAAGCTGAGTCTTTTTTGTTGTTTGTGGGGGGGAGGTTTTTTAATATAGTTATAGCTAGGAGATTTTTCCTGCAGTGCTTGAGTCTGGGTATATTTTAAGAGCTCTGCTGTCTCGTGTTGGGAGGGAAGACAGTAAATATGTAGATATGCTGCTTTGAAAGGTAAGTAAAGGGTCTGTGCTGAACTGACAGTAGCTGAAAAATTTGTTCTGTCTAATTAGCAGCAAATCACTTCTCTGTCCAACCTTGCTTGTTGAGGTGGGAGCCAATTCCCCACGCCCCTTATCCCCTCCTGCCCTTCGTGTTTTTTCAGAGCTCCCTGGCTGAGGGTTTTGTGAGGATGTCCGGTCTGCATCCATGTGTCATTGCAGACTGACGAGTGCAAAATGGAATTGCTGGAAATCCCTGGGAAACTGTTTGCCCAGCTTGAACTTTGTCTCGGGCTCTTCAGGCTGTCACCGGAACTGGTCACGATAGATCAGCTTTTAAATTTCATGAAATTTTAATTAAAGAATGGAAGGCCTACGAAGACATCCTAGGACAAGAGCACTGGAAACAAATACAATTTCACTTCCAACCATTAGCCAGAAAAGCAGCAAATGGTTGACTGCACATCACCATCGCAGCCTAATGAAAAGTGCAGCTCTTGGCTTCGGCGGGCAGGTCATTAGTGACTGAATAATCAGTGACATTTCCCTTCTAAATCTGCACAAACAAAGTGCAGTGCTCTGGAAAAAGCCATTAAGTGCAAAGCCTTGCCTTTACTCTGCTCCAGGTATTGCAGAACAGGATTTAATGGCAGCCTTTAGCTGTGTGTTGGCTTTGAGAGCATCCGCAGGGTAGTAACCCCCTGGTATGCCGAGAGCCAAGTGCTTCCAGCCCTGCACAAGCACGGTTCCTGTCATCGTGTTGCCCAAAAACACAAAGCGTGTGACTTGTTCCTTGCTGGTGTTCACAGATACAGCCGGTAAAAGATACAACTGGGAAAACCTATAATCTAGAATCCCAGGGAGGTGAAAGGTCTGTTTTTATGTCCGAGAGGTACCAGCAGGTAAAGGTCTGGCTCATCGTGGAGTCATTTTAAAGCCCGGCATCCTCCTGTGAATTCCTGTGGCAGCTCCCCAAGCTGGGTGTTAACGTGTTTTTCTGCAAATTTTCAAACGTTTTCTCGATGGGAGTGGAAAGCGAGTGGCAGCGTACAGGAAAAAGGAAGGACTGGTCTTGTTCATGTCCATCCCTTGACTTTCTCTGAGTAACGTGTTGTCGGGTGGACAGACTAATCACATGGGTGTAACTTCCTCTGCTCCCTCCCCGTGTGCCAGTGGCTTTGCACATAGTGCTGCGAGGTTAATAGGAGTCAGACTGCCTTGTGGGGGATGTCCCTTCTGTTGAAGCAGTGAGTCTTTAAGCAAGTTTTTGGAGGGGGGGGAATAGACCCCATGGGCAGAACTTTTCCAAGGCAAAAGCATTACAGGGAGCTGGACCGGGAAGCATTGTTGTCTTGGAAACTCTGTGCTTTGGAGCTGGGTATGTTTGATCTTAAAAATTCCTTTTTCTTTTTCTTTATGGACCCCAAAATAGAAGTTGTCAATGCAGTTAGTGTATCTTTTTTTCATTGGCTCTGATGTATATTTAGCCCTGTGTTGGGAAGTTCCAGAGCAGTATTTTTGGTTGTTAACTCTCCTGGTCATGTTTAGGCTAAGGTGGGTAGATCTGTTTTTTTAATGTAGTCCTGTGAGTTAGTGAAAACACATGAGTGACCACAGAAGAAAAAAAAAAAAGTGTATTTTTAATGAGTAGTTTCATTAATAATTGGATACAAAACGGCCCGGGAAAGTTCATTAATGGCTAACCAATTCTACTTCCAGCTATTGAATAGTTAGTTCCAGCTGAAAGCTCTTGATAGTTTTATCACTTTAAAAGGGCATGGTGAAAATATGTTTCAAAATAAAAAGCTTTATTACCCTATCAAAAGTTTCTTTCTTATATATTGCCTGTATGATGCCTTCTTAAGGTGCGTATCCAAATGCTTGGGTTTGTATAATCATCCGGGCAGCTGTTGCCGTGTGATGTTCTTTATCCTGCTGTGTTTCAGTTAGATTCCCAAAATCCCTTTTGGCCGTTAGAATTCGGGGCTGTGTTCTGAAGCTGGGGGAGATGCTGTCCCTCGCTGCAGGGCAGCATCCCCCTTGCCAGCACCTCACTTCCCACCGCGTGGGTCGTCCGGGAGATACCCCGTGCCACCTGGAGGAGGACTTCAAGATGCTGCCCGAGGGTTCTCCCAAATTATGCACTTGAACACCCTTTGATGTGAGGTCTTAGAACTCTTTTCCTTTATATGTCATAAGGAAATGAAAAGCAAGGCAATTAAAAATATTGATATTCCTTGGGTTTGTTGTGGCTTTAACAGACCATCACCACCAGTGCTTTCAGTTCTTTTCCACTTGACTCCGGTTCCCCTCTGCTCACTCCAGCGCTCTCCATCTCAAGCACCCAAATTTCTGGAGCGAGAGACGCAGGATACTGCTCATAAAATTAATGCCAGCAGCTGACTCCCCTTTTGCAAGTCTATAATGAAGAAGAACTACCATGCAACTTATTTTTTGCTGTGTGCTTTGGTCACAGAAATCCAGGTCATGTATCTATATAGCCTGAAAACCCAACTTAAAGAGAAAAATGGCAGGAGCTTTTTAATTATAGCTCTGTAACTTCAACTGCCCTCTTTCCAACCCTCTCACCAATGGGTGCATGCTGGACCACAGCTCCCTAAATCCATGTTTTAAGGATTGTGGAGGTAGGGCAGGTGAAGGGCATGGCTTTTGCAGCTTGAAACCCTTCAGAGCACAGAGGAGAAAGCCTCTCTCTCTCCTTGACCCGCAGGTGACATTGTGGACATCTACCAGCGGGAGTTCCTTGCTCTCCGGGACCGACTGCACGCAGCCGAGCAGGAGAGCCTGAAGCGCTCCAAGGAGCTCAACCTGGTCTTGGAGGAGATCAAGAGAGCCATCTCGGAGAAGCAGGCCCTGCGGGATATAAACCGGACCTGGAGCAGCTTATCTGGTGAATAAGCAGAGGAGTTGAGGATCTCGGGCTGTTTTGAAGCGGTTGCTAATGAGGAGGTAGAGAGGTGCCTGTGGCGCGTGCGGGGCTGTGGACAAGACGTGCTCTTCTCTCCCTCGGCACGAGCGAATTGTGGAGTTCAGAGGGACGTGGGAAGTCTTAAACTCCTGTTTAATTAGAGGTGCATATGCATCATTAAACATTGAGGTTTGCCTCTGCCAAGGATATTTGCCAGTTTGCTTGCTTACAGGTTTGGGGAGTTTTTTTCTTGCAAGTCATACGGGCCGTTTCCAAGGGCTGTATTGAATCCATACGGAAAATGGGTATCTGAAAAGAGGGGGAGGAAGGAGTTAGGCTGGCTGAGCACCCCTTGCCAATTTATTTGTTCTTTTTTCTCTTTTAAGTTGCTCGGTTGAAGAAAATTGGATCTCTACAGAGAGATCCGGTTTGACCTTCATTTGATCTTCATCCTCCCTGCTCCTTCCCAAATATTTTGGGACTTTTTCAAGGCCCTCCTGGCTCCTGCTTAACTTTAATTGGGTTTGTGGTAGCATGTTAAAGGTTGGCCTGATTTTTTATAACCCAGCAGTAGTCTCGAGTGGCCAGGCTGCTCTAAAAAGGCTTTTCGCCTTGCAGTCTCTTCCTCCCTACTGTGCCTTGCGATTGATTCCCTTTTCCTTTTTAAGACGAAACCAAGTTAAAACTGTGGAATATCACCAACAAGAATGTGCTGCACCTTCCCACCATCTTCCATCATTTGCCACATTTGCTGTCAAAGGAGAACAGTCTGCAGCCAGCCGTGCATGTGGGACAGGGGCGCACTGGAGGTAAATGGGAATTAGTGCTGCTTCTGGTGCTCTTCTTCACCTTAGTGCCTGTCCCTCCCCTTTCCTCCGGGCCTGGCCATGGTACAGATACGAGCAGGACTGGAGGAACGGCTGCATGCGTCATGCAAGCTGCTTTGGTATCGTGACACGTGAGGTGGGTGAGCCAGGTCACATCTGCGAGTCTCTGGGGCAGTGCTGTCTGTGCGCTTGACTGGCACTACAATGTTCTAGATACTTCTGCCAGAGTTTTTTTTTGCTGCTTTCCATCTCCAGAGTGCTCTAGACTTTGCCTGGAAGGCGGTCAGATGAAAGCATAGTTTGCAGTGTGCTTCACGGAGACTCTAACCTGTCTTAGGAGACAAATCCCATCTGGAGTAGGACTTTGGTTACTAGATGCTTCCTTTCTGCTCCCAAATTCCACCTCAAAACCAAAGACTTGACTTGCCCTTCCTAAACTGAGGTGCTTCTGGCCATGGGAAGGTTTTGGAGAACAAGAGTGGTCTTGAAGTTGCCATTTACAGGCTGAAAAGGCCCCTAGGAGGGGGAGGGTTTTTGAGTGCTGCCTTAGACATCAGTCATTCAGGGTGAAAAAGAGTCTGTCTGAGTGGCATGGGTGTCCTGCCAGCCTGGCACACTGCAGTGCTGCTGGTTGCTACTGGGCTGGGGTAAAGAATTATGGGAACCCTACATAGCCCAGGAACCCGCCAACCTGCTGGTCGCTGCTGGTTCTTAATGATGGAGCATGGCACCGAGCAGGTGAACATGAGGCGGTCGTGGGAGCAGAGCGAAGTGTTTTGTCCCAACACACCCACCTCCCCTCTAAAATCTCTCCGTGGCCCTGGGCAGTGTCCGTCGTGATGGGAATCCCCAGCGTGAAGCGGGAGGTGCATTCCTACCTCACCGACACCCTCAACTCCCTCATCTCAGAGCTCACTCAGCAGGAGAAGGAGGACTCCGTCATCGTCGTCCTCATCGCTGAGGTAAGACAGAGCTTTGCCTGTTTACCCTGCTGCCCTGGCCCCCGGCCCATCCCGCTGTTTGCCCGGCTCGGTGCCAGACAGGAGGGCTGCACACCTGGAAGCCAGCTCTGCCACTTGCCAGGGCAGATAAGTCTGGCCTTGGGCTGCCGTCCCACCAGGAACATTAGATGCATCCTGCCCAAAGCGAAACACCGGTTGGGCCACAGTGGGTCAGGATGCGAGCAGACAAGCACGTCACATTAGCAGCTGCCAGCACAGCACGTGCATTTGTCTTTCTGATCTAAATCGTGATGGCTCTTGAGTGGTTAACTATGCTTGGGTGGTTGTTCCCAAAATGTGCTGGAGCAGCCCCATGGCCATGTTTTGGGGTGCTCCTGAAGCAGCTTCATCTCTCCGTGTACCTGTAAGACAGCACAAACCATCTCTCAAAACCGAAGCGTCAGCTGATTTGGGACTGAGACTAATAGGACTCTTCGTACTGGTGTCTGCAGCCCAGAATTAGTTGCTGAACCTAAGGGCTAAAAAGCCTTGATACATTAATCCGCAAGAGCTGCTTTTATCTATGGCTTTAGATGGTTATTTTTCTCCATGGCTTTCCCCTCAGGATTATTTGTCTTCCCCTCAGTGCATTTGTCTTAATTTCCAGAAATCCGGTGAGAAAGGTAAACCTCAGTAGCATGTTACTGGGAGTGGAACAAAGATGAATGTCTCAGTTTGCTCCCTGTTTAGCCATAATTTGACTCAGGGTAGCATTTGGCCCTCAGGTCTCCGGTTAGCATTTTGTACAAGGAGAAGGTGTGCACAGACGGGTGCAGCCCAAAGTGCCCAGGACAAGGTTTGGTCCCAGCCGTCATTTCCCTTTGAGCTGGGATGGGTTTGCTGGCTGTTTTCACACTGGGTAAGTTAGAGAGATTTTAAGCAATTTGACCAAAACCATCTCCTATTTTGGACAGCAGTACCGGTTTTTTTCAGTTGATTTGAAAATAGGGTGCACGCTGTGATGGCAGCTCCTGACTTTCCATGTTAAGTGTGATGAGGGAAGTGAAAAACATAAATTCTGATACCGTGAAGTGCAGAAGCGCACACGCCATATCCTAGTAACAGCAATGGTAGTTGTTGCAGGTCACCACTGCTGTCACTGTCCTCTCTTGCCACGTTTACTCTTGTAGCTACACAACATCCCCCATCTGTGCAAGGGTTCAACCACCGCTGTGCCTGCTCTGTCTCTTCCCAAAGTATTTCTCGATGTACCTGCACTTGACGTGGCTTGTTGGGGCTCCTTGGACGTGAGATAAAGAGTAAATAGTGGAGAGGGTGATATGAACCTTGTTTTTCTTGTGGCTTTTTCTTGGCAGTGCAGAGTTAAGAGGTCAGACCGGCACCGGGAACCTGAGCCCTGTTTGGGAAAAGGGCCTTTTTCCTATTGAGCAAACCCTCCCTTGTCACCGTTCCGGGCTGGGAGCGCTGTCCTCAGCTTGTCACACACATCCCTGGCGTCTCACCTCTCACCTCTGCCTGATGCCAAGCACAGCGGCAGCCGGTCGTGGCTTCTGCAATGCTGTGTCTGCAGATCTGCCTGGGACATGCGGTCCCATGATACATACGACCGCCCCAAACAATGGCACCACCGGGAAACAGCCACAGCGTTTGCTCCTGGGTCTCCTACCCTTTGTTCTTGGATTTTGTTTTCCCGGTCATGATGCAGATGGTTTCTGTCTGGTGCCTGTGTTTGCACTTATCTCGCCCGCAGATAGCGGTGTGAGGCGCTGCTGACCTTTGCTTCCCGACTGCTACGGGTTGCCAGGTTGATTATGGGAACAAACTGCTTTTTTAGGAAGAAAAGCATCAAAATGAACCTGAAATGAAAAATGCACGCTTATAAACAGACTCCTCTTTTTCACAAAAGGGGTGGAGATCCTTTTCTGCCAAGAGTATTTGCTTGGATGAAAGCCAGGGGTATAGAGAAAATAAATAAACAGTCAAGAACTTAACCATTTGTGCAGACACTTGGCACTGGCAGGAGCAGAAGTGCCAGGAGAGCACGTGGGGAAGATATGCAGGGTCTTGAGTTCTTTGGGGTGGATTTCGGTGTGTGCTGCCTTTGGTTAACAGTGGCTACATAGGAGGGTTCCTAGGAGGCCATCAGCATGGGGACTGGTTAAACTGGGCAAAAGGAGGCATGAAGATGACTCGGAGGTGCTAGAAATACCCCCAGGAGGTTCAAAGCGGTTTCTGAGCCAGGGGGTGTCACAGGCTGAAGGATGTAACACTGCTTATCTTTTGTTTTCAGACAGATCCACAGTACACAGCTGGAGTGGCAGAAAATATCAAAAACTTGTAAGCACTTCCAAATGACTACAGCGGTACGGTCTGTACCTGTAGCAGGGCCAGGGAACGGCTTCATTAGGAGAAAACACATGCTTTTCTGCTTCCTTTTTGGTTTTTTTGTTGTTTTAATTATTTTTTTCTGTTCTTAAACTGGACTGCCTTTCCTATTGCCGCTTCCACTTTCTGCTCCTTCTCAAATGCATCCCACATGTAGCTTCCAGTAGGCTGCTTTGTGCTCAGAGTATTTAACACATGCAGCCCTGCTCTTTCTGCCCTGTGGTGTTGTCAGAAGATGGCTTAGTTAGATTTCCAGCCATCCTGGCAATTGTTTCTGAGTCTAGTGCAGCCCTCTACCTGCTCTGCGCAGTCAGAGCAACTGGGCAGTGTGGTAAGTGCACCCAAACGCTCCTGCCTTGTTTGGCTTTAAAACCCATGATCCATTTCTCTTCCTGCTCCAGCCTGTTTGTTTTCCCCTTGTTCTAGGCGTTAGTTACATTTGTCTCTCACGCTAGCTGCTATTTATGTCCTGCAGTCTTAGTGGCTTTTGCAGCTTCCTCTGTGGCTCTTTAGGCAGGAGCCAGTGATGGGTTATTAACCGTGAGCCGGCCCAAGCATTAAGAGCACCAGAACTCAGAGGAAACAGAAAAAGGTGGTGAGAGAAGAGGCTGCGAGTCCCATCCAGCTCCTGCGATTGCGTGTTTCCATCTCGCAGTCGCCATAAGAAGGGGATGCGAAAGGGCAGCACATCCTCCTGGCGCCCCGCGTCCCCGAGCCAATGGTGGGAGAGGGGCCGGGACGTGCGTGGGGAGCGATGTGTTCCCGGGCACTTGCAAAAGAGCTTCAACAGAGCCCTCCATCTTGCTGTGCAGGAGCTGGCAGAGTTCCCCTCCTTCTGCCTGCTGGCAGGAGGACGCACTTACCAGAGGATAATGGACTGATTGTCCGATGGATCCTGATGAAATTACTGGGCGCTGCTGCGGAGAGTGCCTCTGCGTAGAAGGCCTGAAACTTTAATTGACTTAATGATTTGATTTCTCGCCATCGCCCTCTCCAGTGCCTCCTGCCCCTCCCTGATTCACTGAAATTATTTTTCGTCCAAATTGAATTGAGGTGATGTGGGGCCAGGGCAGGCTGAGCTCATATCACAGGAGGGAGAACGCTGTTTCTGCTTCGGTACAGATTTTGTCAGCTCGGTCAGAAGCTCCTGTTTCACTGCTGCTTGAGGAAGGGAGGATTTGAAGATGTTAGCTGAAAATCTTGTCAGTTGCAAGGAGGGAATAAGGAAGGGAAAAATCAGTAAGAAGTTTTTGGCAGTCTCGCTGCTTTGTCTCCCTCTGCCCCATCTCCAGGCTCTGCACAAACAAAGGAAATCAGCCTTGCACCAAATGTTCTCACAAAGGCAGTATAAAAATAACTGGTTTTCCCGCTTATCTCTCACAGTTACAGTAATCTCTGGGTACTGCTTGCAAGGCTGTTGTAGGTACCTGTTTTTCAGATGGGTCACATTTTTTTCTGAGTTTGACTCTGTAAAGGGTTCCTAACCGCATTATAGGGAAAATAGATGCTGATTTTATCAGCGTAAGGGAAGTAGGTAGAACTCCTGCTGGCTGTTATAACTACAGCACAGCAGTGATTTTAAGTAACTTATCAGAAATGCATAACATAATCTGTGCAAAATGGCTTTTAATTACTGATGCATTTGGAAAATCTCTAAATGCCGGTAATGCCAGCAAGTCCTGTCTTTAGTGCACCAGTCTGCAGGTCCCTTTAATCCTGCAGAGAGTACAGAGTGCTCGGGGCTGGTCTTTAAAGCTGACCCGAGTGTGCGTGCGGGAGGGAGAAGGGATGCTGGGGTGAAGCACGCGAGCGTGCATCTATTAGAGACCACAGGAGGGAAAAAACTCCATTGCAATCCTTGCCGATGGCCTTTGGTGAGACCTGGAAGTGCAGTAGCTGCTGGGAAATTTTTAACTTAGAGGCTGTATTTTTTGTTTGGTTCTGCGGCTCAGTGTTTACCCAGTGATTTAGTCTACAAAACGGTGTGACAGACATGGAGGTATTTGTTTACTGCTGCTTTTCTCCCTCAGATTCCCAAAGGAAATACACTCAGGTCTCCTGGAGGTAATTTCCCCATCTCCGCATTTCTACCCTGATTTCTCTCACCTGCGGGAATCCTTTGGGGACCCCAAGGAAAGAGTCAGGTAAGAGTCAATGAGCTTAAAAACAAGCAAGCCCTGAATTAAGTAGCTGCAGCATCCCTCCCCTGACTCCAGCAAGAAAAGCTCTTCTGCAGAGCCAGGCAAGGCCCTCAAACTTGATTTATCCAAGAGCTGGAAGGTGTGTGTGAGGGGGGGCTATGAACTGACACCAGCTTTACAGTTGCTTGCCTTGTGCTCTGATGTTTCCATCACCAGGCGAGGTCATTTTAACCCAGATGATGTTTATTTTGGAAGTCCCTGAGTTTTCTAGTAATGCTTAGCTGACCAGTTGGCGAGTCAAAAGGGAGAGACCGTATGCCATCCCCTCGTCCAAAAGTTGTGTCACGTTCCCGGCTTAAACCCAGCCTCAGCTGGCTCCCCTGAGCAGCCTCGGTGCTCCCATCGTGTTTGTCTCTTGCAGGTGGAGGACAAAGCAGAACCTTGACTACTGCTTTTTAATGATGTATGCCCAGTCCAAAGGCATCTATTACGTGCAGGTGAGTTTGGTGGTGGCAATGGATGGGAGGTGGGGGTGCTTGCAAGTTCACTGTGACTTGTACCCAGCTGAGAGAGGGCAAAGAGCGTGTCCAGTTGCGTGATGCAGTAGGATGGGAGCGGGTTTGAACCAGATAGGTTCAAAAACTGGGTTTCTGAGATGTGTTAGACGTCAAAACCTCCTGCCTAGGGAGGGCAGGAACCCTTGGTTCATTTACCTGTTAGATTGGGTGAGAAAAATCTGCTTGGGGCATCTTCCAAAATAAACTAGTTCTGTGCCAAAGCTTTCCTCTGGTCTATGGTATGATTGCTCTGCACAGAGCCTGGAATCCGGAGGGGTTGTTGGCACTGAGTGTCCTTTCTCCTTGCAGCTGGAGGATGATATTGTGGCCAAGCCAAACTATCTCAGCACGATGAAGAACTTTGCCTTGCAGCAGCCCTCCGAGGAGTGGATGATCCTGGAGTTTTCTCAGTTGGGGTTTATTGGTAATGTTCTCCACTCACCTCAGTCCCATCAGACACAGGAATAAGTACTCCCTGGCTCTTGCAAGCACTTATGCTCTTGTTCCAAAAAGTTGTCCGCATGAGATGGTAAAATACTTAGACTTGGTCCCTGCCTATTTTTGCAGTGGCCCTTATGTTTGCACAGCGGAGAAAGATCCTCACAGCTGGTACTGCTGATGCTCACTTTTAATAAAAATAAACCTGGTCAGCAGCCCAGCTGACAACTAAACAGCTTGGATATGACCAGTAGCTTTTATACTAGATGGGATTTGGAGTTGCCTAAGAGTGTGCAAAAGGAAGTTTACATCAGCACAGAGCTATTTTGGGAACGACAGTACATGGTTGAAGTAGCAGCTTGATCTGTTATTTTGGATACTGGTTTGACTGGCTTAAAACTTGCAGGTTTTGGGGCAGGAAATTGTCTGTCCTACAGCTGGCTGGATGTTTTTCATCCTCATTTCTCCCTACTGAATGGAAGAGTTTTAGACCTCTTGATACTGTTGTGACCTGTGAGACACTAATGCTTTCTAATTCTGCAATGAATATTAAATCCGGAACCATATTAGCAATGCCAGTGGTACGGGTACATAAAACAGAGCTGCATGCTATTTCCTTTATGTAGAGAGATGGACACATCCAACCTCCGTGGCCAAGTCTCCCAACTTTTTTCTTCTCAGCTCTGGTTCCTGACCGTTTTGTGCTGTAGCTGCTCTCTTTTCTCTCTTTCTTTTTCCTGTAGGAAAAATGTTCAAGTCTCTGGATCTGAGCTTGATCGTGGAGTTCATCCTGATGTTCTATAAGGACAAACCCATCGATTGGCTGCTGGATCACATCCTTTGGGTGAAAGTCTGCAACCCTGAGAAAGATGCGGTATGTAAACAACCTCTGTTGAAAGGAAACGTTCTGTTGAATGTACTCTTGGTCTGTGTCTCCAGAGGATCTATTCTGTGAGCTCTGGTGCTGACTAACCGTGCTGTCCCTGTGGAGTGTGCTGCGGGGTGTCCTTGCAGATCCTGTAAGTGAAGACCTGGGAGTTCAGGCTTTTGTAGTCTGCAGCTGCCAGAAAAGACATTATTTCTGCATCTAAGCACTAACAGGCTATTCCTCCTCCAGTCCTCGAGGAGAGTAGCTGTTCTCCATTCTTCTGTGCTGTTTTTCATTCCGGTGTGCTGAAGCCGTTCTGCACTCAGTGACTATAACCCCAGAATAACCTCTGGGCTCATGTGCCCTACCCGCCTGCAGCACACACGCGGGCTGCCCAGAGAGCTCACCCCAGATGACCCGAGAGCAAGGCTGCCATGCGTAGCGTGCCGAAACGAAGCCAGGACACACACAGCTCCTGCTGGGGTTTCTCGGAGGGCGCAGAGAGGTGAAACGGTCTCGTTCACAGAGCCATGTCTTCACGAAACTTTTGCAGACAGCAGCGCAGAAGCCACCGTGACCTGCAGATGTTTCAGTTTCCTTTGGCAGCAGCAACGAGGGGCTAAAGCGAGTGGGAAGGGCAGAGGAGGAGTGTGTGTGACAGCAAATGTAAAATGAGCTCACCACCCGATACTCTCCTGCCTCCTCTCATTCTCCCTCCTCCCCCAGCAGACAATGAGCAGCACCATCCCTGTGCAGAGCTTGAAGCCAGTCGCTTAGGACAGACGTCATGGCCACAACTACCTTGTGGTGGCAAATGCCAGAGCAAGAGGTCACTCTGGAGATAAATGCTATATTTATCTGTTGTGAGGGACAGGGCATCCTCAGGGCTCTGCAGAATTGGGACGAGGATGTGGCTTAATTTGGCCTGATCCCTGGAAGAGATGTGGTGTTGGCTCCAGTCCCCCCATGTCCATCGAGACCAGTCTCAGGTGATGTCCATCGTGTCCTCCTGGCAGTCCAAACGGTGTGCTCAGGTGTGACAGAGCAGTCCCCAGGTACCTCACAGCCCTGGGTGAAGCCAGTGTGGTGGGATGCTGGGATGGAGCTGGGAAGGATGGTGCTGTCCATGCCCTCCCCTTCAAAATCCTTAGCTTGAGCATTGATTAAATGCAAATCCTGCTGTGCAGGATCGTCGTCTCCTTAGCTCATCCTCACTCATCTTCTTCTACCTGTTGGAGCCAAGGCTCTCCCAGGGGAAACTGCAAACCTCTTAAATGTGTTGCCTTTTCAAAAATTAACCTACTTTCCGTGTGGATTTCTGGCTCCTTTCCCCCACTGTTTGTATGATTAACTCTGCACAGCGCCCTTTCGAACATGACTTTACCTTGTAAATCCCACTGTGCAGAATCAGATTGGTAGCAGGGAGGATTTGTCTTTTTGATTGAAAGTTTGTTTGACCTGAGCTTTTGGTAAGTGCTTCACCTGCTCTGGATATATTCTGCTCCTTTTTTTTTAACTAATTTTAGATTTACCTGGGGTAGAGATATGTGAAAGGATGACCTTCTTGCCACCAACTGAGCCATTGCCCCTCCTGGTTTGAATGAGAAAACACTGCTTTCAGCAAATTCTTCTTTTGCAGGAGGGGGAAAGGGGGAGAAAGAGAAATCGAGAGATGCTGTAGCTTGTCCATTCCCTTTCCTCCTCCTCTCCTCATCCAGAGTGAGATCAGACCCGATGGGGTTGCATCTATGGTTGCCAGCAATGAGTAGGGTTAGCCTGGCTAGTTTTAATTTTCTAATGTAACGTGAGCTGGATTAGGGGATTATCTCCTCTGCAGTTTGCAGGGGTCATGCCTGGAATTTCC